TATTTTTCAGTTCTGGCCTTCTCTGAATGGCAGTCATCTCTTCTGCTTTTCACTTGGACAGAACAGGGGCCAGATAACCTTCAGAGGCAATCTGCCACATGCGCAAGTGCTTGCACTTTGCATAAAACTATGCAGACTTTTAATCAGTCACAGCTGAAAGTTAATATCGTGCCCATTTAAAAATGCAGGCTGGCGTTAAGGAGCGTGAAGAAAACGATGGCTGCTTGTGGTATGAACCACGACTGACCTCCCGGCAGATTTTTCCACGACCAAGAGCCAACAGATCTGAATCATTTAGTCTATAATGTCAAGTGGGTGGTAGCTGTTTTCTATCACAGACAGAAGAAAGAATGAAATGTTTAAATCGTTTAAAGATGTGTTATCTAAAGATTTCAGTAGAATTGCCAAATCAGGATATTTTGTTCCAGAGGTTATCTATGTTTAGGTAGCATCTTGCAAGATACTACACCAGACTGATGATTATTGATTACTACTGCCAAGAATCCATCATCTCTATTTGTAAATGACTGGTTTATTAAACTTCTGCAGACACTTACTGTCATACATGCAAATTAGATTCAAATCTTTCCTCCCATTGTTATATGAATGATAAGCTTTATTTATATGAAGCACTTCTACACTGATTTTCCAAGATTGCAATTTTTTGGAGATTGAGAAGATTAAAGACAAGTTAGGTCTGATTGAGCACAGAATGAGAATCATGAATAGTTTCCTCTATCCTTTACTTCCAAAAAAAAAATAAATCAAAAGAACAGTTCTTAACTAAGAACCTTTTAAAGCTCACAAGACAGAGGAAGACAAAAGTATTATCTAAATGGATCTGTCAAAGGAGCTAATGATGCTTAGAAATACTCCTAACACAATGCATTTCTTCCAGAAAGGCTGAGAAGTACAGACACCTCCTCCAGCAATATTACCTTCCTTAAACTTCAAAGAGTACCCTTAAGTTTGTAGAGATCATAACTACGTTAACAGAAGACACGCACAAAGAAGAAGCACTTAAACTAGAGTTTTTGCCAACAGGCACTAATCAAGGACGATAACTGAAGAGGACAACAAAAACTCCACTACTTCTTCAGAGTATCAGTCAGATGATGTCCGATACAGCTCCCACAACTCTTCCCCATCCTGAAATAGAAAGCAGTTTATTTCATCTGTCCCCAGACATAATCTGTCTTGACCTAGCTTCCTCTTCACATCAAGGATTTGGGAAATACATCAGCTATGTTGTGTTTATCTTTAAACTTCTCAAGTTCCTCTTCTCACTTCAACATACTTTTTTTTTGTTGTTTATTTTTTAAAAAATAAAAAGATGTCACTCCTTAACAATTTCTAAAGAGTTTTTAAAAATAAATAAATAGTTTTCTGTTTCCCTGAGAAAACATCTTTGGCATTTACTGAGTATGTTATTTGGGTGGGCAGAGAAAGGAATTCTGTTCTCACAAGTATCCTGTTTATCCAAAAGCTTCAGATAATTACCATTTTCTATGTTTAAAGTAGAATCATAGTTCAAAAATTTGAGTAGCCCATATTTGAAGGCTCAAAAAGCACTCAAGGGAAAAAAATCACCACATGCCTTATTCTTATATTCCTCCCAAGGCATCCTCTCTTGGCCCCTGATGGAGGCACAATATTGGGCTATACAAACCTTCAATCTGAGTTGTCTTCTGCAAGAGTGCTAAACTCCCTATTAAATAAACCCCATATTTTCCCAGTTTTATAGGAACTTTCATTTTCCTACCCTTGTTTTATCCAAACAAGCTGCAACATAGATTCATGCAGACAAATCCCAATGCTGCTGTTTAGAAATGTGTGGCATTATTTTAATTTTTTTAACAAGCTGCAACATAGATTCATGCAGACAAATCCCAATGCTGCTGTTTAGAAATGTGTGGCATTATTTTAATTTTTTTAAGAAACTACAAAATGAGAATTGAAAAGAAGGCTGCAAGTTGTAACAGAGGAACGGTTTGCTCATCTCAAGCAGACCTGGCAAATAACCAGCTAGAGGTCACATTCTGTCACTTAAAAACAGGGAAAGGAAAGGTTGTTGCCGAGTTATTCTCCCTATGGCTAACGCACCCATTCCAATTTGTTGAGATTAGCAGCAAATGAGGCTGCATAGAATCATAGAATTTTAGGGGTTGGAAGGGACCTCTAGCGATCATCTAGTCCAACCCCGCTGCCAGAGCAGGATCCCCTAGGGCAGCCACACAGGAACGTGTCCAGGTGGGTTTTGAAAGTCTCCAGAGAAGGAGACTCCACAACCTCTCTGGGCAGCCTGTGCCAGTGCTCCGTCACCTTCACAGTAAAGAATTTTTTCCTCATGTTGACGTGGAACTTCCTATGTTCTAACTTAAACCCATTATTTCTTGTTCTATCACTGGTCACCACTGAAAAGAGATTGTCCCCTTCCCCTTGACACCCGCCCCTCAGATATTTGTATACGTTAACAAGATCCCCTCTCAGCCGTCTCCTTTTAGGGCTGAAGAGCCCCAGTTCTCGCAGTCTCTCTTCACAGGAGAGATGTTCACGTCCCTTAAGCATCCTCGTAGTTCTCCGTGGGACTCTCTCCAGTAGGTCCCTGTCTCTTTTGAATTGGGGAGCCCAAAACTGGACACAGTATTCCAGGTGTGGTCTCACCAGGGCAGAGCAGAGGCAGAGGAGAACTTCCCTAGACCTGCTGGATAATAAATGCATGTTAATAAATACCTGTGTATATGTACATACATGCATATACACATCATCTTTGTAAGACTATAAAAATACGACAGCTTTTAAACATCATACGTGAAGAGCAGGGAGAGGCTGACACTAAATATTCAGGAGATTGTAAATATTCCTTTTCTTTCTCTTTTGAAATACATCTATACCATCAACTAAGATGGATTTTCCACATCTAAGAGAAAACAAAAATATCTAGGAAGGTTTCCCAACATTTGTTTCCTTGAACTGTCTTAGAAGCCAGGTGATACCTCCAAATTCTAGTGCTTCCCTTGTGTCTACTTCAAAAACCACACTTTTTAATCATTCTTATAACACTGGCTACGATACAGCAAGTCTAACATGTGACATAGTAAATTTTAAACTAAGCTCATTATTACTGAGCATAAAACAGTATCAAACAAAACCCGAGATACTCAGAATGGTATGTTAATCAAATGGTGCAGATTACGAATTGCTGTTTGCAAGGTGCAAGTTGCAGGATGATGAACTGTTGGTTAAGTCAACAGACCGCATTTTAAATAGTTCATCATTTAATGTCATTAAAATAATTTCATATTTGCATACAGAATGTCATATGGCATATTATTTACAAATAGCTCAATGTCATATAAAATTGTTTACATTCATTATAGGAATTTTTCTGGCTCAATAACAAGAAATCAAACCTACTGTCTGTACGCAAATCTATTTCTTGAACAGCCTGAATATTTTTCATCTTTTATTCCTCTTTGTCCTTTATTGTCATCTACAAGAGCTCCCAGCCAAGGAAAGAGAAAACTTGCCTTACAACTGGCAAGCTGTTTTGTCTTACAGCTGGTAAAATATCAGCATTGATGTGAACACTGTCAAACATTACTGCCATTTATATATGTATAAAACTCTATTTTTTACCTTATCAAAATTAAGCTTGTTTAATCTGTTACTGAGCTTCCACAAGTGGCCTCTTCAACTTCCATTTGTTGTGAATTTAGGCTTGGCTATATTTAAGCTTACAGAACATGTGAACTGCTGGAAAAGATTTGAACAGCATAGGGCTTGCACAGAATTTGCTTTCTTTCAGCATCAGAGAATTTGGGCAAGAATGGGTGAATTACGTTTCTTACTACTCAAACTTGATTTTATGCAAAGACTGGAAATGACACACATGAAATCAATGGACAATACTGAAGTAATACAACTAAAATATTTCCAGTCTGAAAATTATCTTCTCTTAAAAATAAGTGAGAAGTGTATTTGACATACAAGAATTATATCATTAATAGTGGAAGGACTCTATTTTACACATTTTTCCACTCTCTGAAAACATGAAGTACTGCCCGTGTGAAAGTAAGGATGGTAAAAAAATTGAGGGAAACTCTTCAGCCAATATTTTGGTCTATAAGTAGAAAAATCATTAACTTCTTTTCAAGAAACTCAGGATAAACAGAATAGCACAAGTTCTCTCAAGGAGCTGACAGAATGCAAGCAATTCTAACTGCTATGAGAACTGGACTAAGAACTGAACAATGCTGAATGAACATAGAGCAGTAAAACCTGGCAGGCGTAACAGTATTCATCCACTCCCAAAACACCAACGCAAAAGGGTATCACCTCCTCTGTTGGAATTACAAGTTTTAAATGAACAGCTATCAAGGACACTAACAGAATACATTAATAGCATGGGTGTGCTGATTTTCATAAGCCTTTGGTACATTTAGAAACTCACATTAGTACTAGGTCAGTTCTCTCAAGTTTAGCAAATCACAGTTGTACTCAATGTTTGTACTGTTGCCGTCCCGTGAACAGAAGCTGAAAACAGTCACTAATGATATCAAAAGGTAAAGACAGCCTTTCACTGGCCTACTATTAGGTATCAGTGTATGTTTCAAAACTATTTGAATTTAAGATACACAGGCTTATAAACACTTATGTGCAATCCTCAGAGGACTATAAATCCAAATCAGAGAAGTATGTGTATGGAGTAAATACAGTGTTATTTGCAGAACAACCATCTCCTGAGGCCTCACATGAAGATGCCAAATAAAACCCAGTAATTTCATACTCGGTGTCTACAGCCATGCTCTGTCACATGTACGTTCAATGTGCGTTACATGTACGCTGTAGTGGTACGCAACGAAATGGCATTTGCCACCATCACCTAACAAATGTGTTTCCTGCCTGTGATCCGCAACGGTTAGAAGAAAAATTTTAAAGTCTGTCAAGCATTTTCTGCTATCCTTCCCTTCAGGATAAAAAAAATAAAATCTGACTTCATCATAGGTGTGGATGCACTGAGTAATTTTATTCCTCTGTTACAGAAGATTTCCTAGGCCTGAGAACAAGATCTTTGATAGAGGCAGTGATCTCCTGGAGCTCTTTTCGAATGGCATCTGCTTCTTCCTCCTCTTCCAGGTTATGTGTTGCGTCACCATCTCCGTGTTCAGTTTTCTTAGTCTGGCTGATCAATTGTTTCACTACTAATCCTTGGTATTTGACTAACAGGGAATGTTGATCCTGAGGGGAAAAAATGGAACAAAAGAAAAAAAAAAAGGATGTTGATGTTATGGAGAAAGTACACAGAGCTTTAATTAAAGATTAAATTTTCACAAAAACATTTTCCCATTCCAGCCTAAAGAGGGTTAGTGATACAAAAATTTATTTCCATCAAGATATTTTGCAACCTAAATTCTGAGAGACATTCAAAGAGGCAGAAAAATGAAAGTCCATCCATGCTGCAAAAATAGGCCAATTACTCACTGAAGCAGGAAAGCAACACAATGAGTAGTCACCAGTTTTGGCAGTTTAAAATACAGAATTTCAGTCTTTTTACTTTTGAAGAAGTATATCTTTCTTGAAATTAGAGAAGTTTCAAACGCAACAATGCTTTAGCTAGGAGGAAAGAGAGTAAAAATTTTCAGCTATAAGAATTATAACATCCCCCAATACGCAACTGTCTCACAGGACAAAGGCAAAAGCTACAGGATATAACACATCCCTGAAATGCTAGGTTTGGAAAACAATATAGATCAGAGAAGTTGAATATTCTGCACATAAAGTAAGGATTAGACATGAAACACAAGAAAGGCACCGGTCTTCCGCAGAAGAAATAGTGTAAGGCACAACTTTTATGTTCTGTTCTCCTTAAAAAGCCAGAAAGGAATACCTCTGGGATCTTGCCACTTAGGAAATTAATGATCTGTGGTACTGATCTTCCTGGTGCATGAAGCATACAGTGGGTTGAAAACTGAAATAACAGCACTGACGTCAGGTGCAGAACAAGAGCTGGATCTTCTGTGACTTTTAGCTGTTCAATCAGAGCTTGTCTATGCTGAAACAAGACTTGCCTAAGGAACAGGAATACATTATATAAAAATATGTTTACCGATCCATCTTACAGTAGTTGATAACAGACTCTAAAACATATCCAGCTTCAACAAATTTTAATTTTCTCCTCCAACTGACCATTACTTTATGTGAAATTCCACAATAAAAAAAAAAAAAGAAAAAAAGAAAAGCTATCACTGGTGGAGCTCAGATTTTGAAAACCTCCTAGAGAATCTAGGAGCTATGTTGTAGTACACAGTGAGTCAAGTAAATTAAAGACATTGGAACTCTTCCCTTATCCTTCTCCCATGGAATTAGGATTGCTTGACTTGGTATTTTTCGGTTCAATCGTTTGGAAAGAAAGACTGCCTCTTACACATTCTGTCTGACTGCTACTAAACCAACCATCTAACATTTGTGCAGCAACAGAGCTAAATTTCACATACTTTGCATAGAATAAATAAAATTAAGGTACCTTTCCTTCTTTTTGTCTCCTTTTTTCACCATAATACCACAAATATCCACTGCAGAATCAAGGCATGAAAAAAAATCTTCTATACTCTATTAAAAACCAATATAAATATTTAATCTGTGTTAGTAGATCATAAAAAAGTTTAACTACTGCTCAAAATTAATCACATGAACAGATGACTGTGAATACATTTGGAATAAACCATGGAAGAAAAGAGAAAGTAAAAAGTATGTAGTAGAAATTAACTATTCATTTTCCAATAGTTCATATACTTAAATACCAAACCAAACTACAATCCGTTAGTGTTACAAATGGAATTTAAAAAGGAATACATGTTCGACAATTATTTACAGATATATTTTTCTTAAGAAATATATCAGTATGGCCTTTTCCACAAAATAATTAAAAAATCACTTTCCTTTGTACCTACACTGCCATAATCTGAGGGGTGTATACCCAGGACCTCAACAGATAAGAAATACATGGGAGAGCAAATAGGAAGTTCAAGAACAAAATACAAGAAACGTTAACCATTTTAAACTGTGCACTTTCTTTCAGCTTTTACTTTTCTCATCTGCACGGAAAAGACATGCTGCACACCATCTGGAAGCAAAGCGCTGGGTGAATACCGGTGTTAGAATGTAATATCACCTTTTCATCTCTTGTAATTCATAGATGCAAAAATATACTTTCTCTCACTGACTTACACAAGTTCAAAAGATTATTCTGCCTTCATCCCTCACAGCAGCTGCAGTTACATACTACACTACGTAAGTATGTCAGCTGTTTGTTTGCATTGTTACCAGCAGAATGGAAAATCTGAACTCAAAGATTCTGGATCGCTTTACCTTGCCATTCAGAGAAGTATGCAGTTTAGTTAGAGGACCTTTGGTGTCTTCTGGCAATTTACCTAAAATCTTGATTCGGACCTGTATGAGACAAGAATGGAAATAATATGTAACATTAATTACTATTTCAGCTGTAAGCAAATTTAAACAGAAGGTAATTAAACATTAAGTAAACTTCACTGATGTACTTGAGGCTGTAAGAAAGGAACTGTTATGTGAGTACCTCACTTGTGATCGTAGAATAATTTTCTGTTGTCATCATTGAATCGGACGCTAGGAAGTTGAAAATCAGATTTGTAATGTCTGCACATACAGTCTTCAGCAGGTGTTTGGCAAGGTTAGTCTGAGTCTCATCTGTTAAAAGAATTAAAAGTATTTTACTGTAGTTATCCAATTCCTACGACAGTTATCACAGCACTTGCTAAAACAAGAACTCTTATGCACCATGAGTAGTACGAGAAAGTTATCTGGATACATGAAGCTAACATCCTTCTTTTGTACGTGTTTATGGAACATTCTTCAGTGAAAATTGCAAGCTTTTGGGTCTGCAAGGACACTTTAATGCACTGTTAGTATTTCAAAGGTGTATGTGTTAAAGTGTCTCTGTGGAATTCTTCTGGACGACTAACAAACACCCACCACTATCCACCACCAACAGGTAAAAGGTGTGTAAAGGAGAAATCTACAGGACAAGCAGTTACACAGAAGAGCAGGCACGTGACTTAAGACTGAAACAGTAGAATTTTTTCTAAGAAGAGGCTCCAGAACACATGTACAAGAACAGAGGCTAATGAGAAGGAATGACTCCATTTATTCCTAAATGTAGGAATACTGGGGGGTTTTGCTCATGTCTCCTTTTTTCTTAAGTTTACTGCAGGGGAAGTTCTAGGAAAAAGCTGAATATAGCAGAGGGTCTTGGAAATCTCTACAATGTTCTCCTAATGCTACTTTTCTGTCACAAAATACAGGTGCCTAAAGAAGACACCTCACAAAGTAACCTACTGCAAAATGAATCTACTCATTTTAAAAACTACCCTCAAGGAGCAGTAGTATTTTCAGTATCAAACCTAAAAGAGGATTTAACAGGGGCTTCTTAGAATCAGGTAGTATTTGGTTCTTTCCTTAGTGGCAGAGGTGACAGAATGAAGTTTACTACTTTTTAGTTCTATTTTTCATCTATTTTCTTTTTCCTCCAGACAATAAAAACTACAAAGAGACGAAAACACTTTGGAAGGAAGACCAAGAACTCACAATTATCTTGACAGAAGATATAACAGACTATGGATATGAAATAAAGAGAACATAATTTAGTAAGTGTGCAAAGCAATGCACTGCAGTGTAAGGTCAGTGTAAATACATCTCTAAGTTTTTCCTTTTTTCATTGTTGCTCTTCTTTGACTTTGAATGTAGATTCTGGAATAAATTAAACATCTCTGAAGGAACATACTCATTTTTTAAAGCACATATTTTTAGTACCTGTGAAATGCTTTGTTCCCTTTTCAAATAACCGAATATTGTTGTACAAGTTTGAGAACTCCTCCTGCAAGTCCTTCATGGTCTGTCTTCTGGTAGCTCCAGAGGAAGATGTTGAAGACGTAAAAACAGAACGTACAACTTCCTGGTAAGTTTTTGTTAGAGGTCTTAGAACAGTGAAGAAAGGAGAAAAAGGGAACATTAAGCAAAATGTAAAACTGTAAAAGTTTTTTCCAAATAGATCAGCAACAGAGAAAGCTATGTAGTAAATGAATGGGGCATGAATGCCATGGAATTGTGAGATAAATAAAAAGCAAATAATTGAAATCAGAAAAAAAAGCACTAGGAAATTAACATGTACTTTTGTAATTGCAGGAGTACTATCGGTTTACTATTGGTTACATTATGCTTGTAGACAACACCAAGCTTGGTAGAAGTGTTGATGTGCTTGAGGATAGGGAGGCTCTACAGAGGGATCTGGACAGGCTGGATCAATGGGCCAAGGCCAATTGTATGAGGTTCAACAAGACCAAGTGCTGGGTTCTGCACTTGAGTAATAACAACCCCCGGCAGTGCTACAGGCTTGGGAAGAGGGGCTGGAAAGCTGCTCAGCAGAAAAGGATCTGGGGGTGCTGGTTGACAGCCGGCTGAACATGAGTCAGCAGTGTGCCCAGGTGGCCAAGAAGGCCAATGGCATCCTGGCCTGTATCAGTAGTGTGGCCAGCAGGACTAGGGAAGCGACTGCCCCCTGGACTCGGCACTGGTGAGGCTACACCTCAAATACTGTGTTCAGTTTTTGGCCCTTCACTACACAGAGGACACTGAAGCACTACAGTATGTCCAAAGTAGGGCAATGAAGCTGATGAAGGGTATAGAACATAAGCCTTACGAGGAGTGGCTGAGGGAACTGGGGTCATTCAGCCTAGAGAAAAGGAGACCTTATTTTCTCTACAACTATCTTAAAGGTGTTTGTAGAGACATGGGATTGGTCTGTTCAACCAAGTAGAAAGTGGTAAGACATAAGGAAATGACCTCAAGTTTCACAAAGGGAAGTTCAGATTGGGTATCGGGAAGAATTTCTTTACGGAAAGGCTTATCAGGCATTGGAACGGGTTGTCCAGGGCAGTGGTGGAGTTTGCATCCCTGGAGGTATTTAAGGGTTGAATAGACACAGCGCTTAGGGACATGGTTTAGTTGAGGACTTGTCAGTGTCAGGTTAATGATTGGACTCAATGATCTTAAAGGTCTTCCAATATAGATAATTCTGTGATTCTGTACATAAATGCCTGTCAAGGTTTTAACTCATAACAACTCCTAAGTGGGAACAAAATGAAAGATAAAAAGATTGCCAGAAACAACGCTAGTTACAAAATCTTTCAGGTGTCTGTGGACAAATTTCAGATCAATGAGAGATGTAAGAGGGGAATGCATAAGGTGCATTAAAATAGCACATGCCCTCCTTAAAATAGTTATTGTTGCACACTAAGTTTATTCAAGCTCAGGCTGTCGCTGTCCTGTGTCCTTTTTGTCCATGGGACATCTTTTAAAAGAAGTTCTTAAGTCTTTGCTTAACTCAGTTTGCTGATCTAGCTCATTACCTAGTTCTCACAGGTACCAGTGGGACCACAAAACACAGGGAACGTGAACATGTACCAAAGGCTGTAGAGAAGACAGGACATGGATCAGCATAAGGGGGTGAAATACACCCATGGACCTGAAAATACACCGGCTGACAAAGGATGCAGAACCAGCTACTGCTAAACAGAACCATTATTTCTCATTACTGTGCCAGCACGGCTTCCTAATATATAAGCAAGGACGTAACACGAGGCTTCACAGAGAAAGTATACTGCAGTTCACTTCCACCAGCAGAACATATATTTCTAAGCAAGAGAACAGACTGAAAAGGTGGTTCATCTGAAGTGAATCACAGTCCAGTCGAATTATTGAAATTACCTTATTAAATGTTCAGCAAGTTCTGTAATAAGTTCTTCAGGGCAATCCTGCATGTGAGTCTTTAGAACGTCCTGAATTTCTTCTTGTGACATGAAAGAGAACTCCATCTGCTTATTCCTACCTGTCCAAGCATGACCAACATTAATGGAGAAAACATTATATTTAGTTCTGCTGCAGTTACTCTGTGGAATGACATATTGAAATGCCTCAAAGTCCAAATCTCCACAGAAGAAAGGCAATACCAATAATGTAAAAAAAAAAAAAAAAGTATGACTACACAGGACACTTAAATTTTACATGGACAGAAAACTGACAAAAATTTCTCTTTTGATCACTCAGAAGTCATTTCCTGTAGTAGACAATCTAAGTCGTGCAAGAGGACATGCATTTTTCTCAGACAATTCAAATTGTCTGGTCCACCTATTAGTTTAGAAATGATGATATCACCAAGACCAAATAGTTTTTTAAAATATCAAAACTGAATAGAATGTTCCCATTTGAAGGATATCACAAGGTTTTTGCTTTTTTTTTTTAAACTCCACTTGGTAAGGTACACTATCATGTAACAAGACAGTATCCTAAACTTGAGGTTGCAGTATAAAATTTGAGACACAATAAAGCAGAAAAGGGCAGGCAATTCCAGGTTTATTCTGCATGTAGAGTAACTGAATGAATAGAATCAATGACGTAGGGCTGTGGGTTGGGCTTGATGATCTTAAGGTTCTTTCCAACCTTTATGAATCTATGTTCCTAATTGTGTCACAGTAGCAATGAACAACATACAAGGTGTTCTAAAAAGGTGGAAACGGAGTTTAAATCCGATTTTGGAAGGGCTTTATTTATATTTGAACAGTTACATACTAATTTATCTTGCAATTTTGGTTCAAACTGTTTAGTACAATACAGCAATATAAACAGCAACAACTGTAAAACACAAAAAGCTATGCCAGAAAAAAAGGTGTAGCTAAACAGTATGCCCATCTTTGATGTTTTTACCTGACTTTATCAATACTGCAGGCAAAAAGAGAGATGTGGAAGCATAAGTCATAAAATCATGTCAGTATGAATAGACAGATCCCAAAATAAAAAGACAAACCTGTGCTAGTTACTTGTAATTCTTCATCGCTATCAGCATCCTTTCTTCCTTTCTTCTTGGTTTTCTTAATCTTGATCTCTCTAGCATTACTTCCTCCTCCTCCTCTCACGCTTCCACTGCCCTCTGGTGGAGAATAAATTGCTTAATATGCAGTAAAAGTACTAGGCAATTTATGTGTGTTCCTCGTCAATGCTGAATTAAAAAAAACAGCCTTATTTTAAATGTGACCTACAATATATATTCCAGAATCTTAAGGCCATAAGTTTCATTCTTAATGAAAAAAAGCAACAGAGGCAGAGGTCTGTTAAATTAATGTCACTCATGAACACAAATACTAATCATATCAAACGTACATATATTTTAAAAAAAGAGCACTATCTTTTTCCAGACGAAAATAGATGAGATACCAGTGTCCATAATGTAATGAGAGATTTTTTGTTGGCTGAAAATAGCATCTTAGTAAGCATTTAGCATTTTTATCCAGTGATGCTGAGTAAGTGAGCTATTAAAACACATTCTAGATAATGGAACACTGTTAACTTTCAGAGAAAGGATTCTACATAGTAAGCATCTTGGAAGCATGTGTTCAAATACAACACTGATTCTTTTTGAGCTATTCCTAAATGACTATAAAGCAACGAGATGTTCCAGTTCTGAGAAACATAACAAATTTCTGAGTTCACAGTTCCCATAATCCAGGTATTCCCACTGCAGACAGGATCTCAATTTGCAATATAGTCCCTCTCCACAAGGTAAGCTTTTCTGCTTTTTATTCCCTTCTATACAGCTTGGTCCCTTCTTTTTTCACTTGAAAGAAATTGAAACTCCAGAACAATTGGTTCTGTACATGCACTAAGTCTTGAGAAAGGAGTTATTTTTCCTTTTAAATATAAGGTTCAAGATTTCAAGTAACTACATGATGTAACAGGACTACTATTTAAGAAAAGGAGGCACAAAGACAAGATCCTACTACTCAAACCAACTGCACCTGCTTCATGTTATAGATGGATTTTTAAGCATTACTTTGCAGGAACAGCAAACACTGCAGCTAGCAGTTCATGATGTATTTGTGAGACCTGAGGTGTTTTTCGCACGCTTATTTGAAATGTGACTGCATTTAACTGAGCAGATACAAACTGTTTGTCAACAGTGCAATATACTAGATATTTTTGAAACAAGCTCCCTTCATTCTGTATTCCCCTTTGATCGCCATACAGAAAACGCTGCAACCTGCAGTCAAGATCCGATCCACAGAGGGATGAAGCAAGAGAGATTAGTGTCAGAAAAGACAGGTTTTATGACAACAGGATACATGGAATGTAACCTACAGGATGGATTTCAAGAGTTCATGCCTCTACAAACACATGTTTGTAACAGACTGTTGCAAACAGTATTTATAAATAGACCACAGAGAATTTATCTTGGAAATTTTCATTAATCCAATACACATCAGAATCCCTATCTGTACTGCAGGAACACTCCACCACATCAGGTTACGCTTAAACAGCACCGATACAGACACGTGCCTTAAGATACGCAACAGGATGTTGGCCACATTCTGCCAATATGCAGTAACATCATCTGATCCTCAAACCGTGATGTTGAATACACCTGATAGTCCCTCAGAGGAACACTTCAGGATAGTGCTTGCTGTTGGTGCAGCATACGGCACCTGTGGATACCAGTGTGTCTAGACCCTCCTCAGAGTGCTGGAGACCAAAGTAATTCTGTTTACGACAGTTCAGTTAAAATTTAAGCTTCTCTGACTCAGCTATGGCCTAGAAAAATCTGCTGTCTCTTGGGGCAAGAGTAAGTCTAGTTTTCACATCAACTCAGTTATGATCTTTTTATTTAAGAGTAGAATATAATGTTTTATTTTGCAGATGAGTATAATCAATTAAGCTAGACACATCAGTGCTCTATTTATGTTACTTTCAGTAGCACATAAAACTCTGCAGGTGAGTTCAGCACAGACTGCGCAGCTGTACTGTAGCAAAACAAGAGCCACAAAGTTTTGGGATTGAAAATAGAGTCTTTAGTCCAAAAAAAAGTTTTAAAACCCAGAAAGCTCTGAAAGCGTCAAACGCATGCATTTTTGTTCTTCCTAGAGATTAAAATCCAATGTAAACAGCCACCACACAAATGGAGTAAGACTTGGCGTTAATTTAACCCAGAGTATCCCTGTGTACGGCTCTCCAAATAACTTATTACTGCAAACAACAGAAAATTGTCTGGCATGGGATTCTCAGAAAACACGTGCAATATTCTCAAAGAAATCCCATCTTTAGACCTCATCTTTCAATTTAGACAGAGTAATGCCACAATTAGCTTCTCAAGACTACTAAGAAATATTTTCATTTTGTTGGATCCCTCAAAAGCTGAGAGCAAGAGTGTATCTACACTGTGCAATAAAAAATGGTACTGAGCTCTTTGAGCTACTACTGGTTTGTTCAGTCTTCACTGTACAGCTCAGTATTAGGTGACCATATCATATACACACTAATAAATGAAAATGGATTTCTTGCTTCTAAAGCCAGCTGCCTTGTGTTGGACTACCTCAAGATATCTTTAGGGTACTTCCTCTGCACTGCTGTATCTGAAATTACTTCCTGTGGACACAGCTAAGATATATATAGAGCTATAGCATAATGAAAAGAAGTGAAGAATGAAGATTATTTCTGAAATATCTTCAGCAATGTGCTGCAGACCACTAATGAACTACAAAATATAGTAACTTCGAATATTTCCAAGGCTAAATAAGACTAATTTTTTTTTGTTTTGGCTTAAGTTGAATGTTCATGCCTTACCTGTGGCTTTTTTTCTTCTTTCATCCTTTCTGTCTTTTTTATTAGCATATGCATTCTCTAAACCAGAAGCCAGTTTTAAATCTTCTTCAGTGATTAGATTAACAGGGTTATTTTTCATATCCTAAAATTAAGAACATGCACTTAAGAGCAAAAAGATACACACAGCAACAAAAGATACATTCAGAAACAATTAAGCCATTTGGCCATTTTTAAGTATACTAATCTAACACACGTTTTCCAAGTGCAACACATGAAGAGACATTTATTCTTCTTGCCAAAATTGAGCATCTGATCATACTGGTAGTGTGATGGTGTTCCCTGAGCGCAATTGAATGTACATTAAATTACACTAGTTACATATACAAACCTTTTGTTCTTTTTTGCCCTTCAAGCTGTATTTCAGATGAGATGTAAAGAGATGGTAACAGCAAATCGCAAGTCACAAAACCTACACTACAACACTCAGTCTAAATTGTATTTGTAAAAAAATTTAAAATCTGTACCTTTTCAGCTTTCTGTTGCATCATATCAGAAAACAGATCAGCACAGCTGCTTATAAATTTCTCACTGACCACAATAGTGTCACTGAAGATTAAACCTGAAGAATTTTTGTGCAAAGATCTCATCACTTGCTGAAGTAAAATCCCAACATCTTCTACTGACAATGAGCTGGGCAGAAGAGTCTAGGGTAAAGAAAATCAGAATCAGTCACATACAATAATCTGTTCTAGACTGACAGACATACTTGCATAGGGATAAATAAAATCTACAGACACACCATTCGATATCTGCTAACTATTTAGAATATATTGCACTCACTCCTAAAATTAAACTAGTAATTTAGAATAATAGAATGATTTGGGCTGGAAGGGACCTCAAAGATCTTCTAGTTCCAACTCCCCTGCCATGGTAGGGACATCTCCCCCTAGATTAGGCTTTTCAATGCTCCATCCAACCTGGCCTTCAACACTTCCAGGGATGGAGCATCCACAGCCTCCCTGGGCAACCTGTTCCAATGCCTCACCACCCTCAGAGTAAAGAACTTCTTCCTTATATCTAGTTTAAGGCTATGCTCTCCCAGCTTCCACTCATTACCCCTCGTCCTATGACTACAGGCCCTTGTAAAAAGTCCCTCCCCAGCCTTCTTGTAGGCCCCCTTCAGGTATGTCGACGTCGCCCCAAAGCCTCATCCTGTCCAGGCTGAACAAGCCTAACTCTTTCAGCCTGTCCTTGTAGGAGAGGTGTTCCAGCCTTCTGACATCTTGGTAGCCCTCCTCTGGACTCGCTCCAACAGCTCCATGTCTTTCTTGTGTTGGGGGTTCCAGAGCTGGACGCAGTACTCCAGGTGGGGTCTCACACAGGCAGAGCAGAGGGGCAGAATCCCCACCCTTGACCTGCTGGCCACACATCACTTGATGCAGCCCACGATACTGGGCCACAAGTGCACACTGTTGGCTCATGTTGATCTTATCATCCACCAACACACCCAAATCCTCCTCCCCAGGACTGCTCTCAATCCACTCATTGCCCAGCCTGGATCTGTGCTTGGGATTGCCTTGACCCAGGTGTAGGACCTCACACTTGGCCTTGTTAAACTTCATGAGGTTGGCCTGGGCCCATTTCTCAAGCCTGCTGAGCTCCCTCTGGATGGCATCCATTCCCTCCAGCATGTCGACTGCACCACAAAACTTTGTGTTGTCGGCAAACTTGCTGAGGGTTAACTTGATGCCATTGTCCATGTCGTTAACAAAGATTTTACATAGTACCCTTACTTTAAATCTTTTAACATCCCAAATCAACACTGCTCTAGAATACATATTACAGCAGAATATATATTGCAGCCCAACAGATACAGAGTAATACTGAACACGAAACAACAGCAGACCTCCTTAAAAGTGGCAAAATAGTGCTGTGAGGCCCAAGATTAAGATTTAGCCAGCACAAAATGGCTAATATCCCTCTGCTTATCAAAACTGTCACAAATGTTCAGTTTAAACTTTTTTTCCAAAAAAAGCAAGCCCACAGAAATATACTGCTCTCTAGCAGAATACATTACCACCAATTTTGAAATGAAAGTTAGTCTTAGGTATCTATCACCCGAATACCGCCACGTCCTTCCTCTGTTTTCGTTCAGACCAACTTAAAGGCAAAGAATGCCTTTTACCTGTTATTTCACTTACACTGAATACTCTTATTTGACAATATGGAATTTTCATTATGCATATGTATGGCTTCAGTAAAGTATCATTTGCAACAAAAAATAAGACCGGATAAATAAATCCAACAGCAACAAACAAAAAGATCACTTACTGCTACATCTATCCAGTTTCCAGAGCTGATGGCTTCCTCTACAGAAGCTTCAACTTGATCCACAATTTCTTGACCAACACAAGCTGCTTTCAGAAATAAGAGCTGTGTGGACTTGTATCTTTTTTTAATGTAGCCTGCTGGGTCAAGGATGCCAAGTCTGTACAATGCGTCAAATTCTGTAAAATAGATGTGTGTTAAATTTACGTACCTTTATATACATATAGGGTGTCAAATGGTAATTTTTTAAAAAAACTAGGAAATGATGAATTACATACAGTTTTTCTACAAGTACATGCAGCCTCAAGCTGATGCTGACTGCTGACTTAAAGCTTAATTCACTACAAGCTACACCTAAACACAGAATCATAGAATCATAGAATGGCCTAGGCTGGAAGGGACCGTAGAGATCATTTAATAGAAATATGAAGGATAAATCATGGACATGACTAGTTTGAGTTTTGGAAGAAAAAAGTTTTTATCAAATTCTTATACCATTAAGCTTATTCTTTCCAATTATATCTTTTCAAAGTATTCTAATATAACATGAACAGTATTTAGAATATATATAATGTTAAAATGTTTTCTTTTCAAAAGTTACCCCAATATACTCATAGAACTCAATGCCACACAAGCAAAGCATTTCAACACTCTGGCAGTTTATACTTAGATGTTCTGAAAACACTCAAAGACTTTAACAGATATTCTATCGGTCAAGCGATATTAAAGAAACACTTAGTACTACTACAGTAAATTATGCTGAACCTTTTCAAACTGCAAGGCTAACTGTTATTTAGGGACTGGCCCTTTGGGACCATAAAAGTACATGCCTCTGTTTATTCAGGTCCACATTTTCCCATAGCTCCTGTTTTAAAACTCCATGGTCCAGCATCACAAAGGTCTAAGTTAGACTTGTTTGAATTCAAATCAGGACACTAGTGCTACTCACTCCAGTTCGACAAATTTTATTTTGGAAATGGTTCACTTGGCTCTCTGGACTATTGGCAGTCAAAATTTGGTTGCCATCTGGACACCCAGACTGAAACTCCAACCACGTGGGTCAAACATGATAATCGGAAAAGTCTACAATGAGCAGCCTAAGAAATGTTTTTAGAGCAGTAATAAAAGTAGCATTCGTAACCCTCTCTGTGAGAAACAAAGTTACTGTTTAGCAGTATGGTTCTCTGCTGAAATATGGTTCTCTGTGATAAAGTAACACGCATCATTATAAGCAAGATGGTGTTTCAACAACAGAGCATCAGCTACTGTGTTGATTTCCACTTATTCCTGTGAGGCTTCACTCTAGACAGTAGCTATATTAGAGTAAGTCAAATTACCTAAACTAGTATTAGAAAGATATTTTATCTAGGAGAAAACAGATTCATTACCTAAGTAACCATTCTGCTTGAAAAAGGAATCCACCCAGTTGCTCTGCGTTCTGGCATAGATGTCTGGAACAAACACAGCCTTATCCTGTCTCCCACCAACCACTGTGCCTTTTAGACGACCAGTGTTAACAAGTTCTTCTAGCACAGCTACAAGAAGAAAATAAATGAAGGAACATTTTCCACTTTGATATATCCATTAATCAAAATGTAGCAATTATTTTCCCGTTTTGTTTCTTTTTTTTTTTTTTTTCCCCAGTCATTAGTTGTCTGTGCTTGTTCTAGTGAAATATTTTCCAAGTTCTTTCAATTATTTTTAACACTGAGGAGAATGTCTTGACAAGAGCTCTGGAAATCATACGTTTCAAAAGAGTGAGCCACAATGGCAGGATCAAAAGACTTTTTATTGAACATATATTTGGACAGATTGAGCTTTTAATTTAGAAAATGTAGCCATAAAAGAATCATTCCCTGGCTAGACAATAAAATATACGAGTATTTTATTAATAACGTTCTCTTCTGCTTGCATGTTAACCAAGACGGAAAAAAGATTAAAACACACTAAAATGACATGAAAAATTGTTACCCAAACTGCATAAATGTGAGCACCTCATATAGTTGACAATCTTTGTGGTTTACAATATTCACACTGTGTCCAATAATAATTTCTTGGTAATGCACAAATATTGCTGACAATGAACATACTGGTAACTGCTAGCAACAAAGTACTAAGCCTTTCTCAATGCTAAATAAGGTACTTTCAACCCTTTAAAGGCGCACAGGAATATCCGATTTGCATCCTGTGTTCTGCTTTTGCCTTCTCATAAGTCACTAGAGGGATTTAAAAAAATAAAATAAAATCAGTGACACCAACTGGCAAGTTCTGTTGATTTCCAGAGTTTTGCTAGATGGCTTTTTTATCCTCAGTTTGTGTTGATTTCTATTTTGCTAAAAGATAGATTTTACCCCAAAACAGAACGCTAACTGGTATCACATGGTATGGCTTCTTCCTCATTAAATAAAAGTAACACTCAACATTACCACATGCTTAGTAGAGGTTTAGCTCACTACATAGGAAAATTTACCTGAAAACTTGGTTCCAGAAGAAATACTGAATATTAAGTCACATTTTTTTGGTAAGATATGCCTATAGTGTAGATAAGCCTCTATAAGCTAAGAGCTGTAGAACACAACTGCCATTAACCAAGCAGTACTTTAACTAAAAAAATATGTAAGAAAGAGAAACTTTAAACAAGATAAAGCCTTACATAATCTAAGACAAGAGCTAGGAATCATGCTCTGCCATGGTTTAGTTACCTTGTATAGAACAGAGATTATAAGACAGATTTTGAAGATAAAATTAGATTTTTGTACTTAGTTTAGCTACCCTAGAAAAGAGAATCAACACACTTTTTCTACTTAAGCAATCATTACACAATACAGTTTGGTTCTCTGCCTGCAATCTCCATTTGCTTTTATTCAAAGTTTTGGGGAAAAAGAGTACAGCTTTTATACATTTTCAAACAAGTTTCTGGAGCACTAGCAATGAACTGGATCCTTTAGGGAAAGGGGCAGAAATGAATACGCCAATTAATTTTTGCATTGTTTCAAAACTCTAGGGTACAGAAAAGGCTTTCATAGGAGACTTCACAGACCTACTACAATTACGTCTAGATAGTACTTTGTTTTAAAACAAAACAAGAGGACCTTTGCAGAACTACTGTAATCTCACTTTTTTTTTTTTTTTAAAGGTGATTGAGTAGTTTGTAGTGTCTTATTAGGCTTCTGGCAAAATCTGGCAAAGACAATAAGCATCCTTCCATGCCTGTCCTACATCAGCAACACAATATTCAGAAATGAAGAACATTTGTGCTTGTATTATACTGTGTAATTAGCGTTTTCACTTAAACAGTTTCTCATTTCTAGAATTATTTTGTCATAGCTTAATGCCAGCTTAATGTGAACAGCAGCACAGCTATGTTATAGAATCAAAGACTATTGTTTATCCAGTCTAAAACTAAATGTTCATTAAATAATTAGCTGTTTGTAAATTATACAAACAGTACATTCAGTTTATTATTTTTTGGAAGAGACACGAACTGACAAAGGCAACTTGAAAACACATTGCTAAAAATGACAAACATAAAAAGCAAAGAATGTAAGTAACATAATTAAGATATTTTTCAAGCTTCCAGAATCTGTGAAAATGAAATTGTATCTCAGCAAATAGAGAGAATAATATCAAATGTACTCTGGCAGTGACTAAAGAGCTCTCTGAAACCTATGACATTACAAAGGAAATGAAATACGGTAAGAAAAAGCCAAGAAAAAGACGAACAAGCTCACTAAAAAAAAAAAAAACAAGAGAAAAAAAAGTATTAGAAATCCACAGCCACTGTGGTGATTACTGGTGACAAGAAAACACTAGAACTTGAATTCACATTAACACCGTATGTGAGCAAAACATGATTATGTATTTTCAGGACCTGTTTGAAAGACTGTAACTATACACTTAAATTTTTTGGGTACTGCAACCTTACTATAATGCAGTTTAACAGATTTTCCTTTTAATCTATGAACACCTGGATGGCAAATTTCAAAAAAAACCCCAATTATGCTTAAACCGGTTACATGGAAGTAGGATGTTTGTATGATTTTATTTAAATGCAAAGCTTTTAATTCTTAATGAATAAGCTTGTCACAAAGAACAAGAAGTTAAGCAGGAATATGGTAGTGGAACTGAAGTGTGCAACGTCCTGAAGGCAAAAAGATCCAATCAAACAAAAGAGAAATACCAGCTTTCATGAGAAGAGATATAAAACCATTTAAAGGATTCCAAAGACCAGCAGCGCTTGCTCAGCCGGCACACAAGAGCAACGATGCTTGATGTAGCATTTTGGACAGACAGGAGGGAGTAGTCAAATAAAAGCCTCAACGTTAGAAGTGAGAAACAGTACAGAGAAGTACTGCCTAGAAGTTTCAGTGGTTGGATTGGAAATCATTATGCATTTCCATTTAAAAAAGGAACTGCAGAAAATAAAAGCAAACAGTTTAAGGATATGCTTTATCTCTCAGCATATAAAGACATTTAACTAAGAGCATAACAAAAGCTCTGCCTTTGCTATCACAGAGAAAAGTCAATAAATGAAATCCAGAGCAGTTAACGCCATTTGGCTACATAAAATCTGTCCCCTTTTGTGTGCCTCACTGATAAAACTGCCAGCAGCTAAGGGCAAATATCAAAACAGACGAGAAAATGAGTACTGCACTTCTTGCATCATTCTGCCCCCAGAGGCATTTCATCAGCGTATGTTTTCATTGCTTCAGATACAGAGAATGTTTCTTCAGTTATGGAGAGCACAAAAGATACAACACTTTCTACACTGAAGAGAAACATACTGTTCATTATTCCAGAATGAAGGCTATATATCGAAGTGCTTCTTTGACAGCATACTTGTAGTAATGAAGAGGCTATGAATTAACCAACAAAACCACAAAACAGTCTGAATGAAACTCACAGTAAAGTAAATGCTCTTGAAATCCATATCGTGTGATCAAGTTACTTACAGGTGTAGGCCTTGGAAAAAAGAAAAAAACAAACAATGTTAAGTTACTGAACTGAAATTAACATGCAGAGTGTAGAAATAAGAGAGCTTACTCCAAATGGACAAAACTACATAGTATCTTAGCCCCAGGGTGCAACACTGACATTTAACATAGCCTGAAAGGTTTTAATTTTTAATTACTATTAAGTTATGTCTTATAACAAAGCTACAATAACTATTGTAAGGAAACTTTTGCCGCCTCCAGTTTTTCTCTTTATACAAACACAGAAGGTTATTGATTTAATAAGAAAAATTTACCCACCCATAGTGGGTCATCAATATGTAACTGACTGGAGAGCAGTGGAATGACAATGAGGATACTCTCCAAACACATGGAGGAACTACTGATTAACATTTTCTTGAAATAAGAAACTTAAGTATGTTGCCTATTGTGTATCTGTATTGGGTTGGCTCAGCCGGATTTT